CCTCCTCCTCCTCCTCCTCCTCCTCCTCCTCCTCCTCCTCCTCCTCCTCCTCCTCCTCCTCCTCCCTGGCCCACCAGCCCCGCCGAGGCCCGCGCGCGCGCCGAACTGCAGGGAGCACATGGACTCCTCCACGTAGTCGACGCAGGGGTTGATCTGGAGCAGCATCAAGGTCTTGGAGTCCCCACTCAGCGAGTCCTCTTGCCGGCCGGGCAGGATCCACCACCACCAGGCTGGGGGCTGCGTCCCCAGGAGGATGAGAGAGAGAGGAAGGGAGTGAGTGAGCGAGCGAGTGAGCGAGCGAGTGAGTGAGTGAGTGAGTGAGGATAAGGTGGGAAAAGAGGAGGTGGGAGGAGGTGGGAGGAGATGGGGAGAGAGGAGCTGGAGGAGGTGGGAGGATGAGGATGAGGAGGGGAGGATGAGGGGGACCGAGAGGAGGTCGACGACGTGAGGGAGAAGGAGTACATAGGATTTGGAGGAGTAGCGGCAGAGAAAAGAGGGGGTGCACGGTGGGAGGGGGGTGGGAGGGGAGGAGCAGATAGGGAGGAGGGACTGCAGGGACTAGAGCCTGCTCCCTCCCTCTCTCTCTGTCCCTCCCTCTCTCTCTGTCTGTCTCTCTCTCTCTCTCTCTTTCTCTCCCTCTCTCTCTCTGTTCAATCCACCTGTTCCTTTGGAGGGAGAAGAGGGAGCGGACAGCACCACGGCAAAGCACCATGTAAGATGCGGTGTACTGCACTGCACGCACCAACTCCAAAGCCAGGAAGCGCCACAACTCCGCTACATTAGGGAGTCTCTCGATGAATGACTGCTCGAATTCCCGCCCCTGGCATGTGTCACCGGGTTCGAGAAATCAGAAAACGGAGGGGAGAAGGAGGGGGAGGAGGAGGAGGAGGAGGAAGAGGAGGAGGAGGAGGAGGGGGAGGAGGGGAGGAGGAATGTCCCAAATGCGGAGCGCCTCAGGAACCGCTTTTCCACCATAACTGGGAATGTCCAGCGAGTGATGCCCTGGAGGGGCCCCACGGAGAACTCACGGCCCAGGCCCGCGACGAGGCCCAGGAGTGGCCTTGCTTCTGGCTCCGAGGGATCGTGACTACTGGAAGCAGATAGTGCCGATAGCTGAACTGATTGCCGTCACCCAAGGCCTTAGGCACAACCGCGGTCCAGCTGTGCTCGATCTCGATGCGCAGAATGTCGCGGATGGAATTCGGAAGGGCCCCAAGGGAAGGCATGATTTTAGTACTAGGCTCTGGCAAATAAATGGGAGGTGGTCCAGGATAGACCCCTTGCTGTCCGCAAGATCACCTCCCATCAGTCTGTTGAGCAGGCAGGACGCAGCACAAGTTTCCCCAGGCCATTGGCTCGCGAATAAATTTGCCGAAGTTCGTGCTGACAAGGGAGCAAGAGCCGCCCAGTTGCCAGAACAGATCGCGCAGAAGTAGCTAGCATGGATCTGCTCGCATCCCAGGCCAATGATAGTAGCAAATCACATTTCTCGCCAGGCGCCCGGTTTGTATGGCCCCTCGGCCAAGCATGAAAGGCAGCATGAGGCCAAAAGGCGGGCGAGTCTCAGGAGGGATGAGGTTCAGGCTGCCGAGCTGTCCTCGACCCACGTCGTCGTGAAGAACGGCAAAGGACTCCTTGCTTGTGCGGCCTGTTTGACCGGGCGATCGATTGCCTCTCCGAGGCACGCGTGGGTCTCTTCTCGATGCCTCGGCCATCACTCCCAGTTGCACGCTTCTCATCGCATCATGCGTTTCAAAGGAGCCTCCCGGTGCAGGCAGCGTGGAGGGGCAGGAGCGCAGAGTTCCCATCGGCCTGCGAAGCCGTGCAGGCAGCCACTGACCAAGCATGGCAAGCGGGTGATCGATGCGCGCGAGCGTGGAGGTTTGCCATCAGGGTATCAGGAGTGGCCCCGGCAAGATGATCTGGAGTCCCAGCGTGCCGTGGTCAGCCAAACTCTTGGAAGGTAAGCGGCCAACGAGTCGCAGCGGTCCCTGTCAGAGGATTCGGCCGCTCAGTTAGGCAAGAGGCAGCAGGAGGCGGAGGAGGAGGAGGAGAGGAGCGTGCACAAGCGACAGCCACGGATCATCCTACAGTATCTACGCCGAGCACAGAAGAGATGGGCCGCTCCAGGTGAACTACCACGCACAGCAGTCTCTGGCAGCACCAAGGCGAGGAGGAGGAGGAGGAGGAGAAAGGAGGAGAGGATAGGCAAAATTCGCGCGTGCGCAAGCCAGCTTGATAAAGTCGGCGGGCCGGTGTTCGCACAAGGCCCCCGCGCGACCAGTCCAGGTGCAACACTCTGACAAGAAGGGTAGGGTGTGCGCAACGAAATCGCCACGCGTCCTACCACGTAGGGGCGGGTACGAGTGGGCGCGCACACCTGTTGTGCATGCGGCAAACTTTGAAAAAAAACTACGGGAAAAGAGATGAGGAAAGCAGGGACGAGGGATACAAGGTGGCGAGGAGCGCCCGCCGCCAATCGAGCACATCGCCTGGCCCCTGGCTTCATTCGAAGTGTGGTCGTAGGTGTACTCGCATTTGCACTCTTAGGTGTACACGGGCATGAAATAGAAGAGGCACGGCACCGGGGTGGGAGGTAACGCAGGCGTCGGACTGGGGACGGCACAGCCGTCGGACAGGGGATCGGCGCAGACGTCGGCCTTGAGAGCGGCGCTACCGTTGGACTGGGAGCTGGCAAAGCCTCGGTACTGAGCGTCGTCGCCGGCGTCGGCTTGGTAGTGGGCGCAGGCATCGGACCGGGAGTCGGCGTGGACAGCGGACTGGTAGCTGGACATGGCGTGAATCAACGCGCAAGCGTCGGCTTGAGCGAAGGCGCCGGCGTCCCATGCACCGATGTACACATATAACGGCGTGCTCATTTACATCTGTATACACACCCTTCTGTATGTATGCATCTAGTTTTAATGACAGTTGCGTTTGTGTGAAGCATGTGTGCATGTACAAACAAACACACACACACACACACACACACACACGCACGTATACCTATATATACGTGTATACATATATATATACAGATATGTATATACATACACATATATATATAACTAGAACCATCGCGCGCGCTTCGCGCGCGCGCTCAGGTTCTAGCAGGCCCCAGGCCTTGACGAATGCACTGCTCCACTGAAGTAGTGGACCACAGTCCACGCATGCCAATCTGCATTCCGAAAGGCCTTCGAGGAAAATCGTTGTGTAGGGGCGCGGAGGCCGTATGAATCGGGTTCCCAGAAGGCCTTCTGGGAGCATGGGCTTGGAGCGTCTTGGGGAGCCTGTTGTGGCGTGCCGTCGCCGTCGTCGTCGTAATGTCGTCGTCGCCTACTGGGGCGCGCCTTCGTCGTCGTCGTCGTCGTCGTCGTCGTCGTCGTCGTCGTCGTCGTCGTTGTCGTCGTCGTCGTCTTCGTCGTTTCGTCGTCGTCGTCGTCGTCGATTCAAGAGGGCACTTGGGGCAACGTTGTGCGCAACGATCTGCGGAGGGCCGCGAGAAGGCGATCAGTCATGTTCCCAATCAACTTCCCAGACAGCTCTCCTGTAGCATGATGGTACTTCGAAGCCTCCGGAGACTCGCGGGCCCATGATGAACCATGTCCACGGAAGGCTTTCTGGGGACATGGCTTGTTGAGGTGTGTTGGGGGTCTCTTGGGCGTTCCCTGGGGGCCCCTTGGGAACTCTCGGGCCCATGATGAACCATGTCCCCGGAAGGTTTTCTGGGGACATGATTTCTTGGGGTGTGTTAGGGGGCCTCTTGGGCGTTCCCTGGGAGCCCCCTGGGGGTCTCTTGGGGCTTCCTGGAGGCCTCTTGGGCGCCTCACGGGGCTTCGTGGGAGCCTCTTGGTGGCCTCCGGGGGCCTACAGGCGGCCTCTGGGGCCAGAGACCTCGAAATATCGGTCGGCGGTCCCCCTCTGGGCCCTCTCTTGGGGAGCTCTTGGGACACAGTTGGGTTCTGGCCCGTCTTGGAGCGATCTGAAGGGCCTCCGAGCGAGGCCGTGAGGGAGCCCTCTTGGGTCTCTCTTAGGCTGTCTTGGGGCTCCTCGGGGGCGTCTGGGGCACTCTGAAGACGAAGCAAGCGAGTATGCTGAAAATTTACGTTTTACGCGGTGAATGGGCCGATGTTTGCCTCTTGAAGGCCCTCTTGGGGCCCTCTTCGGCCATCTTGAAGCCATCTCGGGCCCTCTGGGGCCTCGCTGAGGCTGTCTTGTGGGCCTCTTGGGCGTCCTGGGAGCCCGGAAGGCATGTTCCTGGAGAGGCGTCGGGGAACATGATGTCGAACGAGGCCCTCCTGAGCCTCCCTGAGGCCGTCTCGGGGGCCTCCTGGACAGGCTTCGGGCAAGAGGCCGTCTTGGGGGGTTCCGTGAGCCCCACGGGACGATCTTTTGGGCCGTCTTGGACCCTCTTGGGTCTCTCTTGGTCTCTTGAGCTGTGTTGGGGCTCCTCGGGGGCGTCTGGGGCACTGTGAAGACGAAGCAAGCGAGTATGCTGAAAATGTACGTCTTACCACGGGAACGGGCTGATTTTTGTCTCTTGAAGGCCCTCTTGGGGCCTTCTTCGGCCACCTTGAAGCCATCTCGGGCCCTCTTGGGCCTCGCTGAGGCGGTCTTGTGGGCCTCTTGGGCGTCCTCGGAACCCAGAAATCATGTTCCTGGAGAGGCGTCGGGGAACAGGATTGCGAACGAGGCCCTCTTGGGCCTCCCTGAGGCCGTCTTGGGGGCCTCCTGGGCCGGCTTCGGGGCCTCTTGGGCCGTCTCGGGGGGGTCCGTGAGCCCACAGGCCGACCCTTTTGGGCCGTCTGGGACCCTCTTGGGTCTCTCTTGGGCTGTGTTGGGGCTCCTCGGGGGCGTCTGGGGCACTGTGAAGACGAAGCAAGCGAGTATGCTGAAAATGTACAATTTACGAGGGGAATGGGCAGATGTTTGCCTCTTGAAGGCCCTCTCGGGGCCCTCGTCGGCCATCTTCAAGCCATCTCGGGCCCTCTTGGGGCACTCTTGGGCTTCTTCGGGGCCTCTTGAGGCTTTCTTGACCATCTGTACGGCCCGCGTGGCCTGTCGTGGGCAATTTGGAAGCGGCCCGCGGCAGTCCCGGGGAGTCTGTGACCCCCCAAAGGTTCGGGGGGGCGCCCATGGGGGATGATGGCACCGGTTTTGCCCCCCCCCCCGGCCCACTCCGATATATATATATATATATATATATATACACACACACATAAACACTCGCTTGTCGGTATACCTTTGCGTGCGACGCTGCCGTATCCCTGGTCCCTCCTTCTGCTCCCCCTGCGAAGCACACATTACCAATCGTAATCTGCATCGCATCGCTTGCTGCTGCTCCTGATCCTCGACACCCCTCGCCCTCCTCACGCACAAACACACACACACACACACACACACACACACACACACGCACACACACACACACACTCACACACACACACATATCACACACCACCCACACACACACACACACACACACACATACACACACACACACACCACCCCCTCCCTCTTTCTCATCCTCCCTCACGGGATCCTGCAGCATGTGCGTCAGCGGCGAGTTTCGGAACGGCGTGTGGGCACCCTTCGTAGCCCTCGCGTTGATGACGTCGCCCAGTGCGCTGAGGGACTTGTTGATAGCGATGGCCTGCACTCTGCACACTGCCTCCCACTCCTCGTCGTCATAATTGTTTTCTTACCCCCGTCTTGTCTCCCTGCGTAGCATCACTATCCTGCGCCTTCTCCTCCTCTTCTCCATCCGTCTCCTCATCCGTCTCCTCCTCCCCTTCCGCATCGTCCGTGATTCGCCTATTGCCCACCACGTCATGCTTATACTCCTCCTCATCCCCTTGCATCCTCACTTCTCCGCCACCGAACCTCTAATCCAGCCGTGGCAAGGCCCCCAGAAGGCCCAAAAGGGGGAAAACGATGGAAAGTCGACGGTATCAGTACCTGTTCCTCCTCCTGCTCATACTCCGCCTCTTCCTCTCGATGACAAGCCCACCCCTCGCGCCAACTGTTCGCCACCGCCCGACGCAGCCCAGCGTCGCGGCGACGCGAACGGGGAGGAGGAGGAGGAGGAGGAGGAGGCGGAGGAGGAGGAGGAAGACTAGGAAGTCGAGGAGGAGGAGCAGGAGGAGGAGGGGGAGGAGGAGGAGGAGTAGGAAGAGCAGGAGGAGTCCTGTCGATGACGAGCTCACCCCTCGCGCAAGCTCCTCGCCACCGCCCGACGCAGCCCAACACCGTCGCGACGCGAGCTGTCCGCGGCGATCCCTCCAGCACCCTGGCAGCACGAGCCGTCTGCGGTGGGACGCAGGGCGTCGCGGCGGCCCGGGCCACCTGGCACGAGCCGACTGGCATAGCCAGGCATGGGACGCAGAACGACATGGACCGAATGCGGTGATGGTGAAAATCGCCAGCTTCACTACTGAGGGAAAGGGGGCTCCACCACAAGAAGCGCCAGCCATGGAGTAGGGGGAAGAGGAGAGGGTCCGAAGGCCGCCACCGAGCGTACATGGACAGAAGTATGGCCAGAAGGCCGCCACCGAACGCACACTAAGATGTCTGACCAATGCGCACATAATCTAAGCATGCTTGGGTAAGACCAAAGGTCTCCGAAGGATCACTTCTTCAATCCAAACCTTTTTCCTTCAGTTCGACCTCCAGGTGCCACTTCTGGCGCAGGCCCCACGGCCCACCAAAAAACAGATTTGGAGCGACAAACTACCCTTGGGGGCAGTGGTCGAGACCGCTGCGGCGGATTGAAACAAAAAACAAACACATTGTCGGATGTCAGGGTAGCATTACCTGTGTGGCATTCTCCAGAAACCATGACCCCTAACATGCGACCACCTCTTCGGGGCGCACCTATTGCGTCCGCAGGCGGGCTGATTTGTTCTTATGGTTTGAAGCCTCCCGCCGGCCGTCCACCGCTATCCGCCAAAGAAGAGGTGCTAACCTCTCGAACCCTAGAAAAAAAAGGGTTCTATCCTCCTCTTGCTCCTCCGTCGTCCTCACACCATACCAGTATCATCACCATCCTCGTCCGCATAACCACCACCAGCAACATCACCATCACCATCAACATCATATCATATTCCGTTATCAACACCACCAGCAACATCATCGTCCAAGCACCTGTCTTGTGCACACCTCCTACCTCATCATACCTTTTCCTCCTGCCTCCTTTTCCTCCTACTCCTCCTCCTCCACCTCCACCTCCTCCTCATCGTCATCAGCATCATCATCATCATCATCATCATTTTCCTCCTCCTCCTCCTCAACCCCAACTCTTCTCTGCTCCCTCCTCCGCCCTTCCTCCCCTTCCTCCCTCTCCTCCACTCCCCCTCTTCCTCCACTTCCTCCCACCTCCTCTCTCTCTCGCAGCGGGTTCGGACGTGCCCACTCCACCGCGGCGCCGCCCCACGCGCGGGCGCGGGGCCCATGCCGCGGCGGCACCGCCGCGCGCCGGCGACGGTAAGTTTCGAAGAGGGGGGGGGAGGGACGCCACATGCAAACCATCCATCATCCTGAGGCCACCAGGGGAGGGGGGCGGGATGAGCGGGGGGGGGCCTCAACCGTAGCAGATGTATTTGCCGTAGACGCAGTACCTTGGCTGTAACATTGTACGTTGTAGACGTGACAGGTGCACGCAATACCCTTGTAAACAGCGCTGTAAAGCAAGTACAATCGGCAACTACATAGCACGAACAATCGGCAAGTACAGCGCTGTAGAGCAAGCACCCTTGTGCGCAGCACTGTAGGGCAAGTACCCTCGGCGCTGTGCGCAGCGCTGTTGAAAAGGAGGATAGTATACACAAAACCCGTAAGCAACGGCTTCTTGTGGGCCGGCCTCGCCGTGCGATTGGGCCATCCGATCGTACACTACGCCGACTAGGCTTTCGTCGCTAAGCATGTCGAAGAAAAACTGGGTAACCCCTGGCTGGTCCTCTGCGGATGCGACGTCGTACAAACGCTCCAACACGTAGTCGTTTTTTTCCATCGAACCGTGATACTGATCGGCTCGAGACTTCTCCTGGTACATGATTGGATGGCGAGCCGTTTCTTGTGGCACTTGTCGATGGGCTTGACGCTGCTACTCTTAACGCTGATGACAACCAGTCCCGACCTGAATGCCCAGCGCCCCGCGGAGGCATCCAACGCGCCCAGAGTACCCTCGAAGCCATTGTGGCGCCTCTCGCCTTTACGCCCGACTACTCGGGCTGGCACCCCTTGTCGTCTTGTTCTTGTGGTCCAGCTAGTTGTGCTGGTGGTTCTCGTCGCTCAGGTGGTTGCCCTCGTCGCCCTTGCAGTTCTGCTTGTCGCCCTGGTAGCTCTGCGGGAGGATCTCGTACTTTTGCTTGTGGCCCGCGTAGCTCAGGTTACGGCCCTCGTAGGTCCGCAGGTGGCCCTTGTAGGTGAGCTGGTGTCTCTCGGAATTCTGCTTCGCGGCCGTGCAGTTCAGCTCGTCGCCCTAGTAGTTCTGCAAGAGGCTCTTGTAATTATCCGCGTAATACGAGTAGCTCTGGTTACGGCCCTCGTAGCTCAGCAGGTGGCCCTCGTAGCTCTCGTAGCTGTGCCTGTGTCCTCGTAGCTCAGCTCGCAGTCCTTGTGGCCGTGCTGGTGGGTCTCGTGGCTGTGCCTCTGCGCATAGTAGCTCAGCTTGTGGTCCTCGAAGAGACAGCTAGGAGCCCTGGTAGCTCCTCCGGTGGCTCTAGTATCTGCGCCTATTGTCCTCATAGTTCTGTTCGTTGCCCTTTTAGCCCAGCTGGTGCTTCTGGTAGCTCAGCTGATGGCCCTCGTAGCTCAGCTCGTGGTCCTCGTAACGGACCAGATGGCCCTTGCTGTTCAGCCGGTGGTTCTCTTAGTCCTGTTTGTGGCCCTTGTACCTCAGATTGCGGACCGAGTGGCTCAGCTAGCGGCTCTCGTGGCTCTCCCCACGGCGCTAGTAGTTCCGCAGCTGGGTCTTGAGGCTCTTCTGGTGGCTCTGGTAGCTACGCCTGCGCTGGCCCTGCTAGCTCTGCTGCTGGTGGTTGTAGCAGCTCTGCTCGTTGCCCTCGAAGCTCAGGTTGTTGCCCTCGTTGCTTTCCAGGTGGACCTCGTGGCTCGGCCGATGGCACTCGAAGCTCTGCCCATGGCCCTCGTAGCTGAGCTGGTGGCTCCAGAAGCTATCTTGGTAATCCACGTAGCCCCCTGGTGGCACAGCCGGTGGGCCTCGTACCCCTGCTTTTGGCTTACGTAGGTCAGCTAGCGGCGCTGGCAGTTCAGCCTGCGGCTCTCGTGACTCTGGTGGTGGGTCTCGTAGTTCGGCAAATGGATCTAGAAGCCCTTGTGGTGGTTTTCCCAGCTGTGCGCGTAGTCATCGTAGTCAAACCTGTGTTCCCCGAAGGTCGTCTGGTGGCCCTGCAGCTCTGCTGGAGGCTGCAGTAGCTCAGAGGAATCGGAGCAGTCGGCTGCCACATCGTAGTGTTCCACGTTCTGGAAGCCGAGATAATCCTGAGTGTCGTGAAAATACAGTTCGCCATCGAAAAAGCTGCTATGGCCGTACTCGTAATAGGCGGAGCGGTAGTAGTCGTACTCGTCGTCGGCAGCGCGGCCGGTGCCCGCCGGTACCTCCACGACGACGTACATAATAACCTCTTCGGGCTGCACAGTCGCGCGCGTCGTTCATGGTGGCGGTCTTGGTGGCGCATTTGGTGTCGTAATGGTGGTGGTCGTTCTTGGGCTGCATTTTACGGAGCTCGTTATCATAAGTACTTGGGTTGCCTGTTACGAAGCTCGTTCTCGCAATGGGGCTGCCTGTTACGCAGCTCGCACATGATGTCGTACTTGCCGTATCCAGTGTTGCACTTGTTGTGGTGGCGGCCACCATGAAGAATATGTCACCCCATCTGGCATTCAGACCAAGCCGCATACTGTAGCCAGTCCTGCGTGCCGCAGCTCGCAACGACCTGGGCCCTGGAAGACCCGTCTCGTTCATCTCGTAGCCAATTCTCTTCGTGCTCCTCCTCGCTGTTGGCGCCCGCTGTGCCGCCATCGCGCGGCGGCGGCCAGCGGGCTAAGGCCAGCCTTGCTGCCCCGAGGCCCCGAAAGCGGGGGATGGATCCCGCATGTGACCTTGAGCCAACATGGCTACGGGTTCCTACCACCTCCTCCGTCTCCTCCTCCTCCTCCTCCTCCTCCTCCTCCTCCTCCTCCTCCTCCTCCTCCTCCTCCTCCCCTCCTCCTCCCTCCTCCTCCTCCTCCTCCTCCTCCCATCCCCCTCCTCCTCATCCTCCTCCTCCTCCTCCTCCTCCCCCTCTTCCTCCTCCACCTCCACCTCCACCTCCATCTCCTCCTCCTCCTCCTTCTCCTCCTCCGCCTCCTCCTCCTACTCCTCCTCCTCCTCTTCCTCCTCGTCCTCCTCCTACTCTTACTCCTCCATTCCTCTTCCTTATAAATATCTCCTCCTTCTCGCACCCCGAGGCCGGTCGAAAGGGCGAGCCTGGAGTGTCGCCTTAGACTTCCTCACCACTTATGAGCCTGAAGCTACTAACTGGCAACAGTTTCACAAATGGGGGGGCTGGTCGCTTCCAAAATGTGATTACCCCCTTATCGCCGCGCACATTCGTTTTAGAACAGCACAAAAGCTTTACCGATTGAGGGCGGGTCGTTTTCAACATAAGGTTCTCGCTTTAGCACCGCGCACAATCGCTTTGTATGTGTGAGAGCTTCACTGATTGAAGGCGGGCCGTTTTTATTAAAATGTGGCTCTCCCCTTAGCGCTGCGCGCACTCGTTTTAGATAATTGCGAGGGACTCACGGGTTGAGGGCGGACCGTTTTTTTGCATGTGGCTCTCGTCTTAGCGCCGCGCACATTCCTTGAAAACCATGCAAAAGCCTCACGGGTTGAGGGCGGGTCGTTTTCAAAATGTGGCTCTCGCCTTAGCGCCGCGCACATTCGCCGTACGGAAAAATTGCAAGGGTTTCATTGAATCCCATGGTCAGCTTGCCAGAAATGGATTTTTGGAAACATTCTGGACTGCCAGGGCGCAACAGTTACGTCGATTCGCGGTGTTCTAATCCAGGAGATGGTTTTTTTGTAAGGTTCAGGATCGTCAAGACGCAACAGTCCTGTTGATTCGCGGCGATGGAGTCCCAACAATGGTCTTTCGGCACACATCAAGGTCTTCAAACATATTTCTCCCAAGGAGGCAGTTCCCTCAGTGGAACTGAAACCATGTAGGGGCCTATGAGAAGGGAGCTTCGAGGCTGGTTTTATCCCCCCATCGTTGACACGCCTTGGGTTTCCACTGGGCCTCCTCGTCCTCCCCCTCCTACTCCTCATCGTCCTCCTCCTCTTCCTCCTCCTCCTCCTCCTCGTCCTCCTCACCTCCTCCTCGTCCTACTCATCCACCTCCTCCTCCACCTCCTCCTCCTGCTCCTCCTCCTCCTCCTCACCATCACCATCTAAATGATCATCATCATCATCATCATCATCATCATCATCATCATCATCATCATCATCATCATCATCATCATCATGACCATAATCATCATCATGACCATAATCAGCATCATAATCATCATCATCATCATCATCATCATCATCATCATCATCATCATCATCATCATCAGCATCATCATAATCCTTCTCCTCCTCCTCCTTTTCCTCCTCCTTTTCCTCCTCCTTTCCTTTCCTTGTGAAGAAGAAGGGGTAAAAGGAAAAACAAATCGCATCCCGAAGCCAGTCGGAAGGGCGGGCCGGGCGTTGCACCTGAGACTTCCTTCTTTACCATCCTTACCAACGAAGAGCCGGAAGCTTAGAAACTGGCAACGGCTTCACGAATAGAAGCGGGTCGCTTCCAACATGTGGTTCTCGCCTTAGCACCCCGCATATTCGTTGTAACAACTTGCAAGAACTTCTCGGATTGGCGGCGGTTCGTTTCAGAAATGTGGCTCTCGCCCTTGCGCCAAGCAAAAATCGCTTCAAAATTTGAAAGTTCTTCACGGATTGTGGGCGGGTCGTTTGCAAACCGCGGTTCTCCTAAGCGCCGCGCACATTCGTTGCAATAACGTTCAAGCGCTTCACGGGTTGAGGGCGGGTCGTTTTCAAAATGTGGCTCTCGCCTTAGCGCCGCGCACTTTGAAACGAAAGTGCAACAGCTTCACGGATTGAGGACGGGTCGCTTTCAGAATGTGGCTGTCGCCTTAGAGCCGCGCACACTCTGTGCAAGCATTGGCTAAAGTGTCATCGATTTCCATGGGTAACATGTTCTTTCGAAATGGTGCTGCAGCGTCTCATGATTGCGAGGGCGCAACAGTTACGTTGATTCACGGTGCTGCTATCCTGGGAATGGCGTTCTAGCACGATTCAAGAATTTTACACGGCTGCCTCCCAACAAGGCACATGCCCCAGCGGAAATGAATGTTGTAGGGGCCGGTGAAGAGGGAGCTTGGAGGGAGGGTATATCCCAACATCACTGATGAATATCAGGCTTAAACTGGCCCCTCGCCCCTCCTCCTTCCGCCCCTCACCTTACCCCTTCTGCCTACTCCCGCCTCCCCCTCCGCCATCCGCCCACGCTCTCCCCCCGAGGCCCTCCACGCGGCCCTCGCGCCTCCTTGGCTCGATCGCCCTCCACGCCCGACTTGGCGAGCCGCTCGCTCCCCGCGAGGTCGACCAAGGTGATGCAGGATGCCGGCAACTTCTTTCCTCGGGTGAGGGGCAACGTGAGATGGGTACTGGTTTCAAGGGGGAGGGAGTACCGATTTGGAGTCGACGGTAAATCGCCGATAAATCGGCGATAGGCCCCCAAGGGCGAAGCCGCACGTGAGTGGGCGGGGTGGACAATTGGGCCCCTATCCGCGCTGAGTGGGCGACTGGGGACGATGCCGCCCCCTGCGCGTGACCCCTCCTGACGTTGCCCCTGATCGGGGTGCCCAAGGACCAGTCAACATCGAACCGGGAAGCCAGGTCGAATCGGAACGTGCGTCGGATCGGGCCGCATCGGCACGGAGTTGCAGCCGGATCGAGCCGGCAACGCCAGGATGCACAACAGCGAACATCGGGCCGCATCGGATTGGATCGAGATCGGATCGAACGGGCGGGCATCGTTATCGAATCGGACCGATCGGATCGGCATGGGCCCTGCCTCGGCGGGAACAGGGGGCCTGACATCCGAAATATGGATGTCTTCATTTTGCCTCCCAGCGGTCTTCTTTCGACTTCGGTCTTTGCCATCCCAACCATGGGAAAAACAGCAAACCGAGTGCCAGGCTTCGGCCCCCGCGGGCCCTCCCTGGGCCGCAAGGGGATGAAGAACGACTCGGAACGAGCAGCTTGCCCTAGGGGACGGGTCGGGAGTCCCAGGGACCCCGCACTGCAAGAACAGGACACATCCGACGCTGGATCCGAGGGATTTGGTTTTCCATCCTGGCGGTTTTGCCTCGATCTCGGCATCCGCGGGGCCCGCTTCGCGGGCCCTGGGGAGGATCGAACGATTGGATGGGGGGGGGGTCGAGACTGCCGGGGCCCGAGGCGACAGCGCCCTCCGGAAAGACCGAGGGCGACTCGGATGACACAAGACGCACCTTTCGATTGAGTCCGAGGGCGCCAGGTGGTGCAAGACGGTCCGGCGCCGGTCAAAGCGAGCGGTGGGATGCACCAGAAGCCAAGCGAGGCACGGAGCAAACGAAAGACAAGCGCGAGAAGAGAGCGAAGGGGCCCAATCAGACCGTGAAGGCCGGCGCGGGAGTGCCCAGGGAGAACATGCAGGCCGCGCCCAAGCAGCTGGGCCACCGGCGCGAGGTGGAAGAGCATGAGAGCGCGGAGGAGCGCCAGGAACGCCAGGAGATGGCAGCTCTCGCATTCCTGACTCGCAGACTGGGAGGGTAGAGGGCTGTGCCCCGTAGGGGGAGCGGGGAGGGCAGCACCCACGGCACTCATAGCTAGCAGTCCCGAGGCGAGGGTACCCTTCGGAACGACCCGGGGACCCTGTGCAGAAAACCATGTGGAGAAACACAACGTTTGAAATCCTTAGTATGGGGAAGCAGTACGCGGAGAGGGGGCGGAGTGGAGAGCATGCTTTTTTCCTTGTGCAAATGTCGTGACGAGGGCGAAGAGGGCAGGAGGCGAGGGAGGAGGGGAATGGGCAAGGAGGGGGGCGGCGGAGGCGAAGGCGCACCCGCAACCTCGCGACAGCAACCTCCTGCGGATGCTTCCTCCTCCCTCTGGCCGACGGGGGGGACGTGCCGTGCCCCACTGGCGCGCGGGGATGGGGGCGAAGATGGGACGGCGGCCTCCCAGCCCGTTTCGGGCACGCCCGCTTCCGTCGACGTTCGTCACGCTGGCGAATATCTGAACCTCAGGGGCACGGCTGCTTGGGCAGGCCGCCGCTGTCGCCGCTGCCGCCTTCGTCGCCGCCGCCGGCGTCGCCGGCGCCGCCGCCGCCGTGGTTGTCGAGGATGTCTGGGCTCCTCCGGACGCTCCTGGCCCCTCCCTGGGCCTCCGGAGGCCTCTCTGGAAGCCTCCCGAGGCCCTCGGAGGCTGCTCGGCCGCACCCCCATGGCGCCCCTCGCGGCGTTCCCTTCCTTCCTGCTCCCTCCACCCTCCTCCCTCCCTCGACCCTCCTCATCCCTCCTCCGCCGTCTCCTTCGCCCACCGCCTCCTCTTCCTCCTCCTCCTCCTCCTCCTCCTCCTCCTCCTCCTCCTCCGCCGCCGCCGCCGCCGCCGCCGCCGCTGCCTCCTCCTCCTCCCTCCTCCTCCTCCTCCTCCTCCTCCTCCCTCCTCCTCTCCTCCTCCTCCGCCTCCTCCTCCTCCTCCTCCTCCTCCTCCTCCTCCTCCTCCTCCCCCCCTCACCCCCCAGGAGCCAGCAGGTGCGAGCGGGACGAGTGGGCGTTCATGTCGGTGGCGGCCATCTGTCGGTTGCTGGAGCCCGTCGCCAGCAGCTCCTCCACCTCCTCCGCGCTCGCGACCTCGGCCGCCCAGCTCGCCCACCTCCTTCCCTCCTCCTCGCTCTCCTCCCGGTTCGCCTGCTCTCCCCCCTCGTCCTCCTCCTCGTTCTCCCCTCTCCTCCTGCCCATATCCTCCCTTCTCCTCTGCTTCTACTCCTCGTCCTCCCCATCGACTCATCATCAGAAGCAGCAGCCTCCTCATCCCTATCCCCTCCTCCTCCTCCTCCTCCTCCTCCTCCTCCTCCTCCTCCGTCTCTGTCTCCTTTTCCTCCTCCGCCTCCTCCTCCGCCTCCTACCTCTCCATCCTCCTATCCATCATCATCGTCGCACCACCACAATCACCACAACGACCATACGCATTATGATCATGTGCATCATCACCACCTTCTCCACCTCTATCAGCATCACCATCATAAACGTCGCCCAACGTCGTCACCACCTCCAGCAAAAGCATCGTCACCATGATCGTCATCCTCCTCCTCATCATCATCATCATCATCATCATCATCAGCAGCAGCAGCAGCAACAGCATCAGCATCATCAGCAGCAGCATCATCAGCATCATCAGCAGCATCAACATCATCAACATCAACATAATCAGTATCATAATCAGCATAATCATCATCAGCAGCATCATAATAATCATCATCAGAATCAGCAGCATCAGCATCATCATCATAATCATCATCAGGAGCAGCATCATCATCATCATCATCATCATCATCATCATCATCATCATCATCATCATCATCACCGGTATCATCATCAGCAGCAGCAGCATCATCATCATCGTCATCATCATCGTCACCATCAGCATCCACATCATCATCATAATCAGCATCATCAGCAGCAGCATCATCACCAGCATAATCATAATCAGCATCAGCATCAACATCAGCATCATCAGCAGCATCGGCATCAGCACCATCGTCATCATCATCAACACCATCACAACCCTCGTCATCGTCATCGTCATCGTCATCATCATCTCCACCATCATGACCACCGCTGCCTTCATCGACCTCACCATCATCATCAGCAGCAGCATCATAATTACCAATCATCATGATCATAATCCTCATCATCATCAGCAGCATCATCATCATCAGCATCATCATCATCATAATCAGCATCATCATTTGCAGCATCCTCATCATCATCATCATCAGAATCAGCATCAGCATCGTGAATATTATCGTCAACAGCATCATCATCTACATCAGCAGCAGCATTATAAGCATCATCATCAGCAGCATCAGCATCAGCATCATCAGCATCATCATCATGATCCTCATCATCGTCGTCGTCGGCAGCAGCATCCGCAGCAGCAGCACCATCACCATCTTCGCAAACGTCACAACAAGCATCGTGGTAAACGTCGCATACGTCATCCTCACCATCCTCATCGTCACCATCATCATCATCATCATCATCATCATCATCATCATCATCATCAGCATCATCATCGTCATCATCACCACCACCACCATCATCATCATCATCATCAGCATCAGCATCATCATCATCGTCATCATCATCATCATCATCATCATCATCGTCAGCATCATCACCATTCCGTCACGCAGCGTTGGAATCGTCAACCTCATCGGCGTCCCCATCCTCCTTCCGAGTGCTCTTGCACCTCCTCCCCACCCCTCCTCCTCCCTCTGGATGCTGCTCCACCGCCTCCTCCCCCCATCCCCCCCCTCTGAAGCCCACCACGATAGGAACCACCAACGGCGTCCAAGAGCCACCACGCCACTGCAGACGGGCCAGGACCCTGCGGAGGCCCCTGGAGGTCCAACACCCGCCAGGAGGGCATTCGCCTGGCGCCACTCGACCGGCCCAGGTCGGCAGCGCCGCCCGCGACGCTCGAGACTAGCCCCGCGCCACCGCGACGCTCGAGGCCGCAATCGCTTGTCGGTTCCAGCTGCCCGCGCGTCCGCTGGCCTCGCGCGGCGCGGTCGAGGCGCGCTGCGCGCTGCGCGCGGGCGCGCGGGCCTGGCAGGCTCGGCGGTGGCCCGGCTCGCCACGGCGCCTCGGCAGCGGCCGCGTACCAGCCGATGGAGGCGACCTCGGTGGCAGGGCCGTGACCGCGGGCAAGGGAGGAGACGGCACGCCGGACGCAGATGGCGGCGGCGCAGACCGTGGCTTTGGCTCGGACGCTCCGCCATCGGCCGCGGCAGCTGTCGTGGCCGCCGCGCCCCTGGCGGGAGCGCCGTCTGCTGGCGGCATGCTCTGGCGGATGCAAGGCCCTTGCCACAGTTCGCGGGCACAGCGTCGTCGGGGTGCTGCCGGCCGCCGCCCGCCCCGAAGCGATGACAATCTAGCACGGCGCGCTCGACTGCTGTGGGGCGGAGGACTGCGGCCTCCTCTCGCCTCCGTGCTCGTCCTTCTTCCCTCCCACCTCCACCTCCTCCTCCCCTTCTCCCCTTCCGCCTCCGCCCCCACCTCCCCTCCCACCTCCACCTCCCTTCTCCCCTTCGCCCCTCCTACCTCCGCCTCCCTGCTCCCCTCCTCCACGTCCTCCGCGGCAACAACTCCTCTCGAGGGCACGCCCTCCGTCCCCGAGACATCCCGGCGGCGTGACCGCACGGGCGGATCGGCGGAGGCCAGGCGTACAGCCCCTGGCGAGGCCTGGCAATCAGAAGTCTCCCAGCTCTTCCCCACCCCTCCTCCACTTCCTCCTCCACCTCCACCCTTCTCCTCTCTCCTCCTCCTCCTCCTCCTCCTCCTCCTCCTCCTCCTCCTCCTCCTCCTCCTCCTCCTCCTCCTCCTCCTCCTCCTCCTCCTCCTCCTCCTCCTCCTCCTCCTGGAGCACGCTCTCCGTCTAACGACCCCGCGCCAGTGGGACCCGCACGACGGATCAGGGGAAGCTAAGTGCGCGGCCGTTTGCTGGGTAAGGCCTGGCAGAAAGTTCCCCTCCTTGCCCTGCCGCACCTGTAGCTTCTCCCTCCTTAGAGGGGCCAAGAAGCCATCGCCGCCGGTGCCACTCTCCCCACCCACCACCACATCCTTACCTCCCCCTCCTTTCGAACCACTAGGCTCTAGGCCTCCGTCCGCCCACTTGTTTCGAGTCGCGTGCCAACCAGACCCCTGGACCCTCCCCCAGGGCTGGCTTTTCATCCTGACTAGAGTCGCGTTTGCCGAGGAGTTCGGGCCGCGAGTCCACGGATATGTTTAGCATGGGGGAAACGGGTCCTGATGGAAACGGGTCCTGGACCCTGGAGCCTTCCCCCAGGCCGAGTTCTTCAGCCTGAGCCGTTTTCTGACAGTCCTGGGGCCCGTGGAGGGCCCCAGGAAGCCAAAAACGGCCTAAAACCTCAGGACCCGTTTCCCTCAGGAACCGTTCCCCCCATGGCGATATGTGCATGCCCTCCACCCACGACGGGAGGGCCGGGCGATGGACGAGGGACGAGGGACGAGAGGATTGAGTTTCTGCTCGCGATTTGGACCTCTCTGGTCCTCTGGGGGCCTTCGGTGGCTTCGGTGGCCTCCAGGGACCTCCAAAGCTTCCTCTGGAGGCCTTCGGCCACCGATCGGGACAGGCGGACGAGTGGGCGAGGCGGGTACTGTGGTCCGCGGCAAGAATAAGGGCGAGCGGATCCGCATTACTGGTCAGGCTCAAGGCCCCCCCCCCAGGGGCTAAGGGTCCGGCTTATCCTCCCAGGAAAGATTTACCTTACCTCCCCCTGGGAGGGTTCGGGGTCAAGCTCAGCCCCGCCGAGGGGGGTTACAGCCGGAAGGATAGAAAAACATCATCTAAGAACATGAGACCCTCCGCTGGCCAAAATACCCCGAATTATAAGATCACTCGAGGTACCCCTTCCCCAGGATGCATCAGAACATCCAACAAACACGACTTTTACCTCGGTCCGACCGTACGCTTGACCCCCACGGGGGGGGCCCCGCGAAGGGTCAGACATCCAGCGGCTCGGACAGATCGGGGCGGATGAAAAGCGGGGATCTCTGAAATCTGGCGGTACTTGAGGATGTTCCAGAGCGCCCTGGGACGCTCTGAGAGCTTTCTGGAACGCTCTGACACGACTCATCCCTGTGCTACGGTGGGTTCGTGCGGCGTCGGCACGCGCAAAGGTTTTTGACACCGCGTCGGTCGTTCAACCTTGACCCCCTCGCGGCCCCGATCGTTCAAGGTTGAATTCCGTCTGGTCCAGTGGCGTTACCGCCTCCCGCGGTGGTTCCGCGCCGCAGAATTCGACCTTGAACGCCTTCGCCGGCGTCGACGACGTGCCAACTCCGCATGAACCTACCGTGCCCCTGTCCTGGCCCTGCCCGACTGGACCCCGGGGGCACGCCGCGGCAAGACCCCCGAGCCTCGCCATCGCGGCCCCTCGACACGCACGGGGCCGCGTGACGGAGGTCCGCGTGGCCTCTCGAGCAGAGCTCGTGCCGCCCCTGCAGGGCGAGCCACCATTCGGGCGGGCACCTATTGGAGACCAGGGGAGGAGGAGGAGGAGGAGGAGGAGGAGGAGGAGGAAGAGGAGGAGGAGGAGGAGGACGAGGAGGAGAAGGAAGGAGAAGGAGGTGGAGAAGGAGGGAGAGGGGGAGGACGAGGAGGAGGAGGAGGAGGAGGAGGAGGAGGAGAAGGAGGAGGAGGAGGAGGAGACGGACCCAGACTTCCGACGAGCGAATATTTCCCGAGTGGCCGTCCCCGTACCTCTCTACCTCTCTACCCCCTTCCTCGGGACCAGCGGTTCCTGCCGAGCCGCTCTCTGTCACGGCCCCGAGGCCTCGGAGTCGGCCCCCTGCACCTGTGAGCACGGCAAAGGGCCTCTGGCGCAAGTCTCCTCAGATCGCCCGAGGCCTCGGGGTGGAGGAGGAGGAGACCAGCGTAAGAGGAGGGGTGGAGGAGGAGGAGGAGGAGGAGGAGGAGGAGGAGGAGGAAGAGGAGGAGGAGGAGGAGGCCCAGCAGCCAGCCGCGTGTGCAACCGAGAAGGGGAGCGCGGGCTGCAACGAGAACCGCTGGGTAGGCCTGAACCTGGAGGGGGGTTCTCTCGGGTGCCTCCGCGCCCCCGCCGGGTGACGAAGGCACATTGCCCCAGGAGACGAGCCCACGGCCGTATGGCCCTGCAGGCGGGCAAGAGAGGCAGGCGAGGCGAAGTCTGCACAGCTGCCGTGTGCGGGCACGGCTGAGGGCAAGGATTCGCCGCGGCCCCACGTCGAGCGACCCACGTCGCCACACTCTCATCGGCGGCGAGCGAGGGGAGGGGAATGAGAAAGAGAAGGCCTTCTCAGAAGGCGGCGGGGCATCTCAGAAGCCCTCCTGCCTTCTGAGAGGTGTCCTGTGTCTTCGGGGAAGTCTCAGAAAACTTCTAAGGCCGGGGGACTCCTGAGCCTTCTGACAAGGCCCGCCACTTCTCACTTCCCCCCCTCGCTCGCCGCCGATAGCAGTTCAGGATACGAGGTGCGCACAGTATTGAAGCAAAGAGCACCAGAGAGGAGAGAGGAGAGGGCAAGGGGAAGAGGAGGAGGAGGGCCCGGATCTCCTCTTCGAGGTGTCGGCTAACAGGTCCCGGATCTCCTCGTTGTAGATCTCGACCTGCGCGGGGGGGCGCCAAAGTCACGCTCGCTGCTCCTCCTTGGGAGGAGGGAGGAGATAATAGGAAGGTCGAGGAGGAGGCGGAGGAAGCGGGGAGGGAGGAGGACAGAGGAGAAGGAGGAGGAGGAGGAGGAGGAGGACTCATGATGCATACTTATATGTGCACATTTACTGATCCATGACGTGGTCACACAACTGACAACACCACACAACGCAGCACACAACACAACAAACACGATAGAGGGAGTGAGAGAGGAAAAGAGAGAGAGGGAGAGCGGGAGAAAGCAACAAAACTATGTTGGTTCTCCTCCTACTCCCCCTTCCTCCCTCCCTCCCTCCCTCTCTCCTCTCCTTCTTCCTCATCATCATCACCTCGGTCGTCATCATGATCAACATTATCACCATCGTCAGCATCAGCATCATCGTCAGCATCATCATCAGCATCAACATCGTTATATTCATCATCATCAGCAGCAGCATCATCATCAGCAGAAGCAGTATCGTCAACGTCCCCATCACCATCACCATCAGCATCACCATCATCAATATCATCAGCAACAGCATCAGCATCAGCATCAGCATCAGCATCAGCATCATCATCATCATCATCAGCAGCATCAACCTCCTCATCATCAGCAGCAGCATCATCGTCATCATCAGCATCGTCACCATCAGCATCATCAACGGCAGCACCATACGCATCATCAGCATCAACAGCATCATCAGCATCATAAGCATCATAAGCAGCATCATCCTTATCAGTATCGTTATCCTCACCCTCATCCTCCATCCCTTTCCCATATATGTATACACATATATAACACCCCCCCTGTCGCACCTCCATTCGTGTCGGTAGGGCGGGCGGGGCGTTTCGCCTGAGACTTCCTCACAGTGTATGACCCCGAAGCTTGAAATCTGCAACAATTTAACGGATGGAGGGCGGGTGGTTTTCAAGTGTGGCTCTCGCCTTCGAGCCGCGCACATACGCCGTAGAAGTGTGTACGAGCTTCACGGATGGCGGGCGGGCGGAACTCAACATGTGGCTCTCGCCTTACCACCGCGCACATTGATCTTAAAATTCGCAACAGTTTCACAGATGGAGAGCGCTTCCTCTTCAACATGTGGCTCTCGCCCTAGCGCCGCGTATATTCGTTTCAAGGTTTGCGACCGTTTCGAGGGTACGTGTGGCTGACGTCCCAGAAATGGAGTCCTGGCGCAATCTAGGATTGCACGACGCAGCAGCCATGTTCTCTTGCACAGCTGTGTTCTAGAGCTCGGACCTCTTTTCGTAGTTCGTTCGTTCGCGGTTCGTCCTCCTCCCCTGGTTCGTTCTCTTCCCCTGGACTCCTCCCCTGGCTTCCAGGCTTCCCTGGACCCTGGACCATGGGCTTCCCGCTGCCCCCCCCGCCTGGCCTGGCTTTCCTGGATCCTGGACCACCCGCTGACCTTCCATGGACTTTCCCCCCAGGGCCTCCCAGGGCAGCTCCCCTGGGCCGCGGAACGACTCTTATTTTTGTGGTTCGTTCGTTCGTGGTCCAGGCCACCTCCCCTGGCTTCCCTGCCCCCCCCGGGCTCCCCCGGGCCGCGGAACCTTTTGTTATCGTGGTTCGCTCGTTCCTGGTTCGTCCTCCTCCCCCCCGCCTGGCCTGGTCCTCCTGGGGCCCGAACCACCCACTGACCGTCCCCTGCTTCCCTGGGCCCTGAACTTTTTCCCCCCGGGCCTCCCAGGGCAGCTCCCCTGGGCCGCGAAACCCATCTTACGTTCGTTGTTCGTTCGTTCGCGGTTCGTCCTCCTTCCCCAGGCCTCTCCCCTGGCTTCCTGGCTTCCCTGGACCCTGGACCATGGGCTTCCCGCTGCCCCCCCCGCCTGGCCTGGCTTTCCTGGATCCTGGACCACCCGCTGACCTTCCATGGAATTTTCCCCCCAGGGCCTCCCAGGGCAGCTCCCCTGGGCCGCGGAACGACTCTTATTTTTGTGGTTCGTTCGTTCGTGGTCCGTTCTCCTCCCCAGGCCACCTCCCCTGGCTTCCCTGCCCCCCCGGGCTCTCCCGGGCCGCAGAACCTTTTGTTTGTTATCGTGGTTCGCTCGTTCCTGGTTCGTCCTCCTCCCCCCCGCCTGGCCTGGTCTTCCTGGGGCCCGAACCACCCGCTGACCTTCCCCTGCTTTCCTTTGCCCTGAACTTTTTCCCCCCGGGCCTCCCAGGGCAGCTCCCCTGGGCCGCGAAACCCATCTTACGTTCGTTGTTCGCTCGCTCGCGGTTCGTCCTCCTCCTCGTCCTCTTCCCCAGGCCTCTCCCCTGGCTTCCAGGCTCCCCTGGACCCTGGACCTTGGGCTTCCCGCTGCCCCCCCCGCCTGGCCTGGCTTTCCTGGCTCCTGACCACCCGCTGACCTTCCATGGACTTTCCCCCCAGGGCTTCCCAGGGCAGCTCCCCTGGGCCGCGGAACGACTCTTACTTTTGTGGTTCGTTCGTTCGTGGTCCGTTCTCCTCCCCAGGCCACCTCCCCTGGCTTCCCTGCCCCCCCGGGCTCTCCTGGGCCGCAGAACCTTTTGTTATCGTGGTTTGCTCGTTCCTGGTTCGTCCTCCTCCCCCCCGCCTGGCCTGGTCCTCCTGGGGCCCGAACCACCCGCTGACCTTCCCCTGCTTCCCTGGGCCCTGAACCTTTTTCCCCCCGGGCCTCCCAGGGCAGCTCCCCTGGGCCGCGAAACCCATCTTACGTTCGTTGTTCGTTCGTTCGCGGTTCGTCCTCCTCCTCGTCCTCTTCCCCAGGCCTCTCCCCTGGCGTCCTGGCTTCCCTGGACCCTGGACCATGGGCTTCCCGCTGCCCCCCCCCGCCTGGCCTGGCTTTCCTGGATCCTGGACCACCCGCTGACCTTCCATGGACTTTCCCCCCAGGGCCTCCTAGGGCAGCCCCCCTGGGCCGCGGAACGCCTCTTATTTTTGTGATTCGTTCGTTCGTGGTCGTTCTCCCCCCCTGGCCACCTCCCCTAGCTTCCCTGCCCCCCCATTCCCGCGCTCCCCTGGGCCGCGAAACCCATCTTATCTTCGTTATTCGTCCGTTCGTGGTTCGTCCTTCTCACCTGGCCACCTCCTCTGGCTTCCCTGTCACCCCCCCTCCCGGGCCCCCCTGGGCCGCAAAACCCTTTATTTTCCTTGTGCGCTCGTTCCTGGTTCGTCCTCCTCCCCCCAGCCTGGCCTGGTTTCTCCTGGGGCCTGGACCACCCGCTGACCTTCCCCTGCTTCCCTGGGCCCTGGACTTCCCCCCCGGGCCTCCCAGGGCAGCTCCACTGGGCCGCAGAACCCCTCATATGCTCGTGGCTCGTTCGTGCGTGGCTCGTCCTCCTCACCTGGCCACATCCCCTGCCTTCCCTGCCTCCCCATTCACGCGCTCCCCTGGGCCGGGGAACCCTCTAGTTTCGTGGTTCGCTCGTGAATGGTTCGTCCTCCTCCCCCGGCTTCCTGGCCTCCCTGGGCCCTGGACCATGGCCCTCCTGCTCGGACCTCCGGGCGATTTTCCCGGGCTTCCCAGGGCAGCTCCCCTGGGCGAGGACCTTGTTATTTCCGTGGTCGTTCGTGGTTCGTCCTCCCCTGGCCTCCTCCCCTGTCTTCTGGACGGTTCCCCCTGGGCTCCCAGGAGAGCTCCCCTTGGCCGCGGAAACCTTTTTCTTCGTTGTCTTTCATGGTCTGTCCTCCTCCCCTGGCCTCTTCCCCTGGACCGCAATGGGACAGATGACCGCGCGCCTCTGCATTGCGCCCCAAGCGCCCCCCCACCTTCCCCTCCCCCTTTCTCCTCCAACGTGCAAGAGCCAGGGCACGCGTGCCACTTGTTAATTCGCTGCGTCGATGTAAGTCCCAGGAATCGCGTTCTGGCGCGGCTTAGGATTGTCAGGAAGCACTGGGATTGTCAGGACGCACCAGGCACGTTGAGTCGCGGCACTGGAGTCCAAGGAGTTGTATATTGGCACGACCAAGGATTATCAGACAATTGTTTTCCAATGGGGCACGACCTCCGATGAAAACAATTTCTTGTAGGAATCTCTGAAGAGGGAGCTCGGGGGGAGAGTTGTTTGCGACATAACTAATGTGCCTTGGGTTGATACTGGTCCTCCTCCTCCGCCTCCTGCTCATCCTGATCATCAGCATCATCATCATCATCATCATCATCATCATCATCATCAGCAGCAGCAGCAGCAGCATCATGCGCACCAGTATCAGCATCAGCAGCCGCATCAACATCAACATCAACATCATCATGACCAGCATCAGCATCATCATCAGCATCAGCAGCATCATCATCAACATCATCAGCATCAATATCCTCAGCACCGACATGAACAGCATCACAATCAGCTTCACCTTCACCTACACCAGCACCATCACCATCACCAACATCAGCATCATCACCATCAGCAGCATCAGTATCAGCATCAGCATCAGCATCAGCATCAGCATCATCATCATCAGCAGCAGCATAATCATCAGCATCATCATCGTCATCAACAGCATCATCATCAGAATCATCAGCAACCGCATCATCATCATCACCACTTTCAGCATCATAATCATCAGTAGCATCATCATCAGCATCATCAGCAGCATCGCCATCATCAACCGCATCGTCATCATGATCAGCAGCAACATCAGTATCGTCAGTGTCAGCATCATCATCAACATTATCATCGTCGTCATCATCATAATCAGCATCAGCATCACAATCGTCATCATCATCATCATCAGCAGCAGCAGCATCATCATCCTTCCGTCCCTCCCTTCCTGTCGTGTTCTGCTCATCCTCATAGAATTTCGTCTCGTCCTTCTCCTCCTTCTCCTCCTCCTCGTCCTCATTCTCCTCCCCCTCCTCCTCGTCATGCTCCTCCCCCTCCTCCTCGTCCGTACACCCCTTACCCCATCCCCCATATGTCTCCTCAGTATCAGCATCGTCATCATAAGCATCATCATCAGCACCATCACCATCATCATCAGCCTCATCATCAGCAGCATCATCGTCATCAGCAGCAGCATTATGGAAAACAGCAGCAGTACCATCATCATCATCATCCATATCAGCATCAGCATCATCACACTCACACTCATCATCATCGTCATCATCATCAGCAGCATCAACATCAGCGTCAGCATCATCAGCATCAGTATCAGCATCAGCAGCCGCAGCATTATCAACAACATCAGCAGCATCACCATCATCATCAGCCGCAGCAGCATCATCATCGTCGTCAGCATCATCACCATCCTCATCCTCATCCTCATCCTCATCATCATCATCATCATCATCATCATCATCATCATCATCATCATCATCGTCATCACCAACAGCATCATCATCAAAAGCAGCATCATCGTCAGCAGTATCAGCATCAGCAGCATCATCGTTGTCATCGTCGTCATCATCATTATCATCTTCATCCTCGGCATCGACAGCATCCCCATCAGCGTGAGCATCATCATCAGCAGCAGCAATATCAGCATAGTCATCACTACCATCGTCATCATCATCAGCATCATCAGCACAATCAGCATCGTCAGCAGCAGCAGCATCGGCAGTGTAATCAGCATCGTCAGTATCGTCAGCATCACCAGTGTCACCAGCAGCAAAAGAAGCACCATCACCCACATGATATTTTTCGTCGTCATAGCCAGTCGCCTTGATCATAATCATCAGCCCAATCATCAGGATCATCAGCAGCAGCAGCAGCATCAACATTGTCATAAGTACAATCACAATCATCAGCATCATGATGATCATGATCATCATCATCATCATCAGCAGCAGCATCATCAGCATCATCATGGGTCACCAGCTGTATCATCATCCTCAACAGCATGATCATCCCCATCAGCATCATCATGAGCAGCATCATACGTATCATCATCAGCATCACCATCAGCATCAGCATCATCAGCATCGCCAGCATCGTCAACATCACCACCATTACCGAAACAGTAGGACAACCACCATCACCATCGCGATCAGAAGCATGATCGGCATCGCCATCATCAGCATCATCATCAGCAGCAGCATCAGCAGCAGCATAATCATAGTCATCATAATCATCATAATCAGCATCTTCACTATCATCAGCGACACCAGTATCATCGTCATCATCATCGGCATCATCATCATAATCAGCATCATCATCAGCAGCATCGTCATTATCAGCACGGTCATTGCCATCATCATCATCATCAGCAACATCATCATCAGCAGCATCGTCGTAATCACCATCATCAACATCATCATCAGCATCCTCATCATCCTCATAGTCATCATAAGTATCAAGATCACTACCGCCATCACGATCATCACCAACAACGACATAATCAGCATCAGCAACAACACCATCATCATCATCATCATCATCATCATCATCATCATCATCATCATCTTCATCATCATCATCATCATCATCCTCATCATCATCATGATCATCATCGTCGTCCTTCTCCTCCTCCCTCCCTCCCTCTCTCTTGGTTCCCACCTTCCCTCCCTCACTCCTTCCCTCCTGCCCTCCTCTCCTCCCATCCCGTCTTCTTCCTCCTCCTCCTCCTCCTCCTTCTCCTCCTCCTCCTCCTCCTCTATGTCGTCCTCCTCCGTCTTCCTCCTCCCATCCATCCTTCCTTCCTTCCTTCCTTCCGTCCTTCCGTCAGTCGTTCGCACTCTTTCTCCTCCTGCTCCTCCCTCTCCACGTGCCCTGGCGACCAGGGCGCACTTGAGCTCGATCTTCCAGCCCCTCCGCTCCGCAGCGACTCTGAAGAGCTCGTTGAAGGTCTTGTAATCCGCCGGCGCCCTGCAGGACGCCCGAAGGCACCGCCGCACAGCACGACCGTGCATAAGGTAAACAAGCCCCGAGCAGAGCAGAACGCACCACGACCACGACACGACACCGCCGACGACGACGACGACGACGACGACGACGACGACGACGACGACGACGACGAGGTGCGCTTACGATCCGCACCGAAACACGAATTCGGCACAGCGCCCAGTCTGCGAGGTTTGGTACACCGCACACTGCTGAGCGGTGCTGCGGCCTCCCGCCGAGCACTTTTTACCATCCAGCGAAGCCCAGCGGCAAAGGAGGACACAGAGGAGGGGGGAGGACGGAGGAAAACGGCAGCCCCCGGGAAGGGGCGAGAACTAAATAGCACGAATTAGTCCGGCGGGCCAGGGCGCTCCAGCAGCCGGCGGCGAACCGCCGCGCGCCACTCGGCATCGCGCCCGCCTGCGCGCGTGGCCCCGAGCAGCAGCAGCCCGGCCGCCCGCGGGGGCAGCGCAGGGGCCCAGCCCGCGCAGTGGCGGCTGGCGAGGCGCGCCCAACCGGGGGCCCAGCAGCCGCAGACCATGCAGGCCACCCATGCTGGGCCCTCCGAGGCTGCGTGCGCCCGCCACGCTGCGCCGGCGAACAGCGCCTGCGCCGCGGCCGCCGTTCCCGGGCGCTGGGGGGCACCGGCGGGCGCGCCCGGGGCTGCCTGAGGCGCAGCCACGGCCGCAACGGCCGCGTCATCCCCTTCGCGGGGCGCGCGGCGGCGGCGGCGGGGCCCAGCAGGGGCCCAGCGCCGTCGCACGCGCGGGCCGTCAGCGCCAGTGCCGCAGTGGTTCGCCTTGACTGCAGCCAACTCCACGGCGGCGAGCACGCGTTGCACCGCCTCCAGCGCCTGCAACTGCCGCAGCCGCTCGCTGACCAGCGGCGGCGGCGGCAAGCGGCAAGCTGCAGCCACCCCGGCCAGCCGGTCTACCGCCTCGTTGCCCGCCCGGTCCTCCTCGGAAATGCCGCGCTCCCTGGCCTCGGCCACGTCCAAGTGGCCCTTGACCCAGCGCGCCTGGAGTTGGCCGCTGCGGCAGTGCGCGGCGAGGCGGTCCCAGATGTCGGAATGCGCCCACTCGCGCGGGTCGGCGCCGCCGTGGATCGCCGCGATCCCGTTGGCCACGAACCGCGAGTCCGTGATGACCTCCACCGGGCCCGCCGCCGCGCTCAGGGCCCACTCCGCTGCGGTCAACTCGGCCCGCTGCGCGGTCTGGGCGCCATCAACAGGGCCGCGCATCACCTGGGGCCCGCCAATGGGGCGCTCCACGCGAGCTCCCCAGCCTGCCCTGGCCAGCAGCGGGTCGCACGGGTGCTCGCATGCCCCGTCGGTCCACACACGCGCGCGCGATGCGTGAGCCTGCTCGGCAGGATCGGGCAAAGCGGGCGGCGGCAAGGGGAGCCGCGCCTGCTCCGCCAAAGCGGCGAGCCGAGTGTCCATCGGCAGAACCCCGGCGAGGGCCACCGCCGCCGGCAACCGCGCCCGGGCGGCCGTGTGCGAGATACCGACAGGCTGCGCGGCCGCCAAGCGCTGTGGCTCCCAACAGGGGCAGGCCCAAAACCTGTGCTCGAAGTCCTCGGTGGCCGCGCCGCAGCGGGGGCACGCCGGCGAACGGCCCCATTTCGCCGCGACGGACTCCGTCACCATGTTGCCGCTCATCACGGTCCGCAGCGCGCCGGCGGCGTCAGGCGGGAGCTCCTCGCTGCTGAGGAGCCGTCGGGTGGCCCAGCGGTCCACGCTGGCGTGCAGGTGCTGGAACAACGGGCGTCGCGCCGCCAGAGAGCGAGCCTCCCTGCCAGCCCAGGCGTTGAGCAAGAGCTCGCGCGTGTCCGGCAGCGCCCTGTCAGCGCAGGGCTCCAGCCGCCGGGCGAGGCCGGCACGCCTGTCCAGCGGGTCACGTCGGTGCCGAGCTGCAGCTCCGCCAGGCTCCCCCGCGCGGCCGCGAGGGGCCCGCTGCCGCGCCCGTGCCCCGCGGCCATGGCGCCGTCGGCCTCCGCCCACAGCTCTGCGGGGAAGCGTCCGCGGCGGAGGGCTTTCGCAACCTGCCACAGCGGCGCGATGACGACGACCGCGGCCGGGTCAAGGCGCCAGTTGGGGGCCAGGACGCCAAAAACGATTTCGGCGGCTGCGCGAAGCCCGCCGCGGCAAACCGCCCGCCGCGCCGCCGAGCGCAGCCCGGCCAGCTCCCGCGCAGGCGGCCGCCCGCAGGAGGCGCCGTACACGCCGGCCGCCGTGCCAGCCGCGGCGCCGAGCACGCAGCGGTGCTTGAAGCCGAGCGGGAAACGGCCGAGCCTCGCGAAGCGGCCTTGGGCTCCAAGGACGCGGGACGCCGAGACAGCGCAGCGCCGCCTTGCCGCCACCGCGCCGAGGTCGCGGAAGTCGGGCCGCGCGGCTATGTCAGGCGTCCGATGGCCAAGCCACCGCCGGAGGGCAAGGCTGTTGGCGAACTGGCGGCTCTTCTCCCGGTTGAGCTGCCAATCCATTGCGGCCTCGCAGGCCCCGGTGATCCGCAGAGCACCCCAGACCTCCTCGGCCGCGACGCCGCCCTCGTCCGCTGCCGCCCGGACCCACACCGTGAAGTCGTCCACGTAAACCCTCCTGCGGAGCCGGTCACTGATGCGGCCCGTGCGGCGCACCCACGGTCGAGTGAGGACTGCCAGGATGAACACCGCCAGGGGGCACCCGGGCAGCAGGCCTCGCGTCGGCGCCCACGGCTGCCCGATGGCCCTCCCGACGCGGATCCGGCGGCGGGCCGTGTAGGCAGCGAGCGCCGGGCGGGTGATCCAAGGTGGAACCCCCGCTCTAGGGAGCAGGCGGGGCGCCTGGTGCAAGTCCACCTGGTCGTACGCCTTCCGCCAGTCCAGGGCCGCCCCGACGATGTCCTGGGAGAGCGCCTCCGCTGCTTCGAGCTCAAAGGCCAGCTCCCATGCCAGCTCCTCCGCGCCGCGGCGCCACTCGTCGCCCTCCCAGCTGCACCGCCACTGCGCGAAAGCGCGCGCCCTCCCTGCCGCCCAGATGCGATAGAGGATCGGCAGCAGCCATATCGGCCGACGCTCCAGGGGCCCCTCGCCGCCGCCAGGCTTCGGCAGTAACAGCCCTTCGGGCTCCACCAGCTCCCGCGGCCAGGCGCCCTGAGCCTCGACCTCCTCGAAGAGCTCGGCGACGAGCTCCAGCATCTCGGTGGGCAGGAGCCGGAGCTCGCCGATCGTCCACGCATCGAGGCCCGGCTTCTTGCGCCTCGGCACGTGCCGGAACAACCCCGCTAGGAGGTCGGCAGTCCACGGCGTGCGATCCGGGAAGGGCGGCAACCCGTCGAGCTCCTGCTGCCACTCCTCGTCCACCTCTGGCGCGGGCGCCCGCTGCCACAGGGCGCGCCACGGACCCTCGAAGTAGCGCAGGCGCGCTGCGGGTCCGCCCTGCAACGCCAGCAACCAGTGCCGGCCCCCAGGGGGGCAGCCCCTCGCGCCAGCAGTGGCGGCCTCCACGCCCCCGACAGCCGGCACCAGCTCGGCCTCAACACAGCCGCCGCCGCGGATCCACCGGTACAAGCGGCCTTGGTCGTTCCTCAGCGAGTCGTCGACCCACCGGCGCCACTCAGACCGCCGCCAGGCACGCGCGGCTGCTTGCGCCAGCCGCCACTCCGTCTCCGCCTGCTCAATCAGCGAGTCCGCGACCGGCCCCGACGGCAGCATGGCCGCCAGAGCAGCCTCCCAACCCGCATCACCAGCAGCGGACGCCCACAACGCCTGGAGCGTGCCTGTCGCCGCTCGACCGGCCGCAGCCGAAGAGCGCCTGCGAGCGTGCTGGAGCGACCGCAGCCTCCGGAGCCTCAGCAGGGCTGCATCCGCAGCAGCGTCGGCCGCCTCCCCGTCGCCGCCGGCGGTGGGGGGACGCTCAGCCAACAGCGCGGCCGCAGCATGCGGACGATCGGGAACGGCCGGAGCACCCAACCGCGTAGCCAACCATGTCCGCAAGGCCTGGCCGAGCTGCTCCCAAGCTGCGTCCAGGTCGTCGCGGCGCAGTGCCCGCCGGAAAGGTTCCTCGAAGCAACAACGGACTGCTGTCGTAACGTCGCGCGCCGAGGCTGCCGACCAGGCGGCGCGGGCTGGCCCATCCAGCTTGGCGACCGGCTGACGGAGGAGGGCCAGCTCTGGCCGCCCGACCCGGACCGTCACCAGCAGCGCCGCGTGCATCGCCAGGCCGAAGTCCCACCGGAGGCCGACCTGGGTGACCATCCCCGCTGCGGACTCGTTCGCGAGTGCGTAGTCGATACGCGACGGCTCGCCTTGAGAGGGAATGCAGGTGGGCCCCGCGGCCCGGAGTAGATCAGGCCAGCCCGCCATGGCCAGCAGCCCGTCCAGCCCTGTGTCAGCAAGGCGGCAATTCAGGTCGCCGACGAGCAGGGCGGGGGCGTCGCCGAGGCTACGAAGCCATCCCACCCCCTCCAAGATCAGGTCGGCGTTCCGGTCGATATCCTGCCGGCCCCCGGCGTAGCCGTAACAGTTCATGACGTGAAGCGCCCGGCCCTGCCCGAAGTGGAGGGCGACATGCTGCAGCCTGCCGGGGTGGCGGCCCGAGAGACCCTGCGGCGCAGACGCACGGGCGCTGCACCGGCCCACGCGGGTGGCCGCCGCGAGAAGGTGGGTACCCTCATGCACAGGCCCCAGCTGCAACTGCATGCCGCGCCCGCGGGCACCCGCGGCCGCCGCCTCAGCCTCTGCAGCCGGGATGCGCGCCTCCTGGATGCACCATGCCTGAGCCTCGGCCGCGAGCAGGCCACGCCAGCTGGCGCTCCAGCGGATGACATTCGCGACAAGAATGGTGGCCGTCGCTGGCGGCGCCTCCAGCTGGGGGCCAGGGACCAGCGCCTCACCGACACGAACGCCGCACCAAGGGCTGCGCAGCCGGGGGTCGCGCGCCGGCCGCAGCGCGGAGACCTGCCGCCGCTCGGCCGCAACACAGGGGCTGCAAGGGGAGCGCGGCCTCGGCCGTGGCGGCCCGGGGTGAGCAGCCTCGGCAATGCGGACTGCTCGGCACGGCCACCCGCTCCAGCGCCGATGAAGCTCGCGGATGGGCTCGGCGGCCCTCCCGGCGCGAGCTGCCGACGCGGCCCCGGCGGGAGGCGCGCCTGGCGCCCCCGCGGGGCCGGCAGCACCTGGGAAGATGGGGCCCGGGCCGTCTTCCCACCCCTGGCGGGGTAGGCCGCGCCTGGGAAGATGGGGCCCCCGACTGACTTCCCACACGTCTGGCCGATCAGCTCGTGGGATGCTGGCGCCGAGGACGGCTCGAAGGTGGCCGGGAGCGCCCAACTGCCCTCCACGGCTCTCCCAGGCCCCGCTGCCGCCGCGGCTCCAGCGCGAGGCGCGCCACAAGCCTCCGAGCAGAGCAGAACGCACCACGACCACGACACGACACCGCCGACGACGACGACGACGACGACGACGACGACGACGACGACGACGACGACGACGACGACGAGGTGCGCTTACGATCCGCACCGAAGCACGAATTCGGCACAGCGCCCAGTCTGCGAGGTTTGGTAAACCGCACACTGCTGAGCGGTGCTGCGGCCTCCCGCCGAGCACAGATCCCCCCCCCAAAAAAGAGCCGCCCGAGGAGGAGCGCGCACGGAGAAAGGGAGACACTGTGCATCCAGAGACGCCGGACATAGACCCTGGCGACCCCGCAGCGGACGCGGAGGAGGAGGAGGAGGAGGAGGAGGAGGAGGAGGAGGAGGAGGCGAGAGGAGAGGAGAGGAGAGGAGAGGAGAGGAGAGGAGAGGAGAGGAGAGGAGAGGAGAGGAGAGGAGAGGAGAGGAGAGGAGAGGAGAGGAGAGGAGAGGAGAGAAAGACCTGCACTGAGACCCCCCAATGCGAATTCACCCTGATTCGTACCAGCGGCGCTAGGAGAGGGGGAGCAGTGGAGGCGGGCAAGGAACAACACAACGAGCGGGTGAAGAACCGATCATCCCTGTACTCTTATTTGGCCCTCTCTCTCTCTCTCTTTTTCTCTCTCTCCCTTTCCCCGTGCATGTATGAAGTATGTCTATGTGCATGTGTGTACGAAACGGTGACGGGTGAGGAAAATGTGTTCAGCCTGTCGTGGCGGCGGCACCTGCGACCCGCTACGCTTTGCAAGCTGATAGCGTGTGGCTCTGCTTCGTGGGACGGGATGATCGGCTCGAGGACTGGGACATGCTCGGCGTGTCGCACGGAAACGGTTGGCCAGAACTGGCGGCAGGACGCGCTGAATAAACGTTCTAACCGTAGATTACGGCAAGAGCATCAGATAAGGAATTGATGTATTTGTTTTATTAAGCAGCAGAGAGGACAACTTCGTGAAATATTCACCTGCACGTGATAAGTACGTACACTACACTCGAGAGCTGACAGGTCACTAGTGCCTCGCTGTCACGCCGCAGAGCGTGATCCCACAATGGGTAGTATGCAGTCATTAGATAAGGAACCCTTGGATAAGGAACCCGCGGTCTCTGAACGCAGCTGGAACACCAATTGAGGCAAGGCTGAAAAAGACACCGCCGCCTTCGTCAAACAAGGAAACCTCCAGGATCTGGAGCCTCCTGGGCACAGTCCTTCACCAATGCCACCGCCATAGTCACATCCTGCGTGTATCCCTTCCTCGCCTCTATACATATATATATATATATACTAGAACCACGCACGCGCGCTTCGCGCGCGCTTAGGTTCTAGCTAGGATCGTCACCGTCGTCATCATGAACATCACCATCGCCATCATTCCCCCCGCCAGGGCTAATGTACATCGTTTCTGGATGCTTCTGGCTGGAATACGAAAGGAGTTTCGGTTGTTAGAGTCTCTGGGGGAAGTCGCGGGGAAGCTTTTGTTGTCTTTGGTGTTGCGTCGCCAGGAGGTCTGGGCTCCCTCCTCCTCGTGTTCCTACCTCCTCTCTGGACGTCCGATGTCGTGATGCTTTCTGTGCGCGACCCCTGGACCTCTCGACGACTTCCTGGGGATGTTTTTTTTTTCATCCTGAGTCGTTTTCTGACGGTCCCAGGACCCTGCGAGGGGCCCCGGAGGCCGAAAATTGACCGAAACCGCCGTCGTGATTTTTCCAAGACGTCGGAGGTCCAGGTCGTGCTTCCCGCCTCCCCAGACCTCCGACGTCGTAATTTTTGCGACCTCGGGCCCAGGAATCGATTGGGAAAACGCACATGGGAAGGCAAGAAATGATGGACCCATCATTTCGTACCTGTGCCTTGATCAGTGGGACGGGCTTCGCACCGCCGCACATCACAAGACACGCTCGAGCGATCCAGCCGTGGCGACGTCGGGGACTGCAGAAGGTCGCAAGGACACGGAATATGAAAGGAAGAAAGAGAAAGAGAGAGAAAGAGAGGGAGAGAGAGAGACAGACAGACAGAGAGCGAAGGAGAGAGAGAGAGAGAGATGGAGAGAGAGAGAGAGAGAAGAAGACAGAGAGAGAGAGAGGCAGAGAGAGGAAATGGAGAGGAGGCGAGCTTGAGTCAACGAAAGTCGCAGGGAAGGGGGCAGGGGGAAGAAGGCCAGAGAGCGCTGAAGGATACAAATACTGGAACCCTCTTGGGATTTTTTGGGGGGCCTCGTCCGGCCGCTCGCTGGGAGTTTGACGTAGCTTCTTGGGAGCCTCTGAACCTGTCGGGGGCCTCCTGGAAGCAGGTTCGAAGCATTGTGGGGGCCGATTTGGGGCTTCTCGGGGCCTCCTTTGGGCCTCTTGGGGGTCTTCTGGGGCCTCTTGAGGGGCCTCCTGGGGGCCTCCTGGCGGCCTCTTGGGGCGGAAGGCTCGAGCTTGCGGTTCGTGGTCCCCCTCTGGGCCCCCTCTTGGGCCCGTCTTGGGGCCCTCTTGGGCCATCTTGGGCGCCTCTTGGGCCGTCTTGGGGCCCTCTTGGGCTGTCCTGGGGCCCTCTTGGAAGCTTCTTGGGCCGTCTTGGGGCGGTCTTGGGCGCCTCTTGGGCCGTCCTGTAACGTCGGAAAGCCCAAAAGGCAACTTTGTTGAAAATGTACGTTTTACGAAGGGAATGGGCCAATTTTTGCGTCTAGGGCCCTCTTGGGACGCATGTTGGAGGCTTCTTGGGGCCTCTTGGGGGCGTCCTTGGACGTCTGGAGGCCATCTTCAGCATCTCGGAGCCCTCTTGGAGGCCTCTTGGAAATTTCTTGGGCCGTCTTGGGCGCTCCTGGGGCCGTCTTGTCTGACCGGGGAGGCCTCCGGCAAGCTCCGACGAGCCTCCGGGCCCCCCGGAGCCCACATTTGCGGTCGAGGTCCCGGCCCCGGGCCCCCGGACCCGGTGCGCCGTTATACGTACATATATATATATATATATATATATATATATATATATAATTATATATGTAGGCTACTCCCCATTCCTCAACCCGTCCACTCACCCACACGCATGTCCGTCCGCACATCCATCCAGTTGTTTATGGATTTGCTTTCTCGCGCTGTCCTCCAAAGTTTGCATCACCAGTTCAGCTAATCGCACCAAAGCTCAGACCATGATGCATCACGCCGCAAGGCTTATCGGATAAATTCCACGATTAGTGCCATAACCCTGCATCGAGAACGTCTTTCCGGAGCCCGTCTGGCCGTAAGCAAATATGCATACGTTGTAACCGTCGATCACCGACACAACCAGATCCCGGATGTCCGCGAAGACCTGATCCTGCGTCGAGTTCTCCTTGAAGACCTGGTTGAAAGCAAAAGTCTTCCTAACGCCAGCGCTCTTGTTTGTGATCTGTATCTCCCCCTCCGCTGGGAAACTAATACAGCTGCCGTTCTCTCTCTCGTTGAGCGGGCGCACGCGGCAGTAGACGCGGATGTTGCCGCGCAGCTCTTGCACCAGGTTGTGCAGCTTCCGGCGCTTGTCGCACTCCGCGGCCCACTTGTCCCTCCACTCCTTGACCCTCCCCTCGATCAAGCCCTGCAGCGACGGCAGCTGCGCTCTCAGCGCCTCCTGCCGCGAGTATATGTTTCTACTGCCGCGGCCGAGCCGTGCTGGCCCCGGGGCCGCCCACGAGCCCGCGAGCCCGCGGCCGCGCAGCGGAGAGCGGGGCCCCACGCGCCCAGGCGCGTGGGCCGGCAGCCCCCAGGGGCCGCCTCGCTTCGCGCCGCCCGGCCCGCGGTGCGCGGCGCGCGCGGTGCTCTTCGCGCCCTCTCGAGGCCACCCTGGAGAAAGGGCAGCTCTTCGGCACAGGCCGCGGCGCGCGAAGCGCGAGCGCTTGCGCGCCCCCTGCGGCCGACCTGGCTGCTCCGGGGGTGTGGGGGCCCCGCCCTTAAACACCAGACACACGACGTCGTGCGTCGTGTTTTTTTGCTTCACGACGCGGCTCCCCAGAGGTCTGGACCCCTCCCCCGGGGACCAGTGCTTCATCCCGACCGGCAACACGCCCAGACGGCCCCACGAGAGCACCAGGCGGGTCCAGAGACCGTCCAGAAGCCACAGGGCGGCCCAGAGAAGACCCCTTGAGAGGCCCGCTGCAGGAGGAGCAGGACAAGACCGCCCATGGCGACAGCACAACCGAAAACCGACCGACCTGACAGCGAGACCGAGACCGACCGAAACCGACAGGCCCCAGGCGACCCAGAAGGGTGCGGCGATGCAGCAAGGACACGACAACCGACCGAACCGAACCAGCCGAACGCAGCCGACTGCGATGCGGCCAAACAGGCCGAAACGCGGACAACCTTGGTGATCCTCGTCGCCTGGCCTTCGGGTCACAGCTGTCCTCCAGCGGCCGTTCGGGGTGATTCGACCCCCCCCAAAAGCGCTCTCGGCGAAACGCGGCTGCTGGAACGCAGCAAGAGGCTGGAAAACCGCCGAGAAGGGGAATCAAGAAGATACCTATACCGCTACTCCGTGGACCTCGCCCGGATCGCGTTCTGACCAGGATCTCGAGGGATCCAGCCGTGGCAACAAGGTAGGGATGGCGGTATGGGCACCCTTTCCAAGCCGTTGAAAATCTTTGAAACAACTCGAGCCCCGAAACACCGAGGAGCGGCGGCGGCTCTCCTCCTCCTCCTCCTCCTCCTCCTCCTCCTCCTCCTCCTCCTCCTCCTCCTCCTCCTCCTCCTCCTCCTCCTCCTCCTCCTCCTCCTCCTCCTCCTCCTCCTCCTCCTCCTCCTCCTCTTCCTCCTCCTCTCAAGCCACCTAGGCTCAAGCATTTTGTTTGAGCTGACTCTCGTACCTGCTCGAGGTGCTTGGGGCACTCCGAGTCCGCTCCATCCAGGGATTGCGTACTCGGTCGACTAAAGCGAGAGTTTCCGCCATGGCTCCTGCTTCCTCTCGCGTCTGGAGCCGCTGCGCCAACTGCCAGCGGTGTGAGTGGAACGATAACCTTCTGAAGTGCGGCCTGGCATGCCCGCATTGTGGCAAGCAGGTGAAGCTGTTCAAAGCCAAGCCGCCTAAAGGAGGTAACACTAAGGTGGTCACCTTCGCGGAGACGGAGGATGGCACGATCTTCGTTCAGGAGGACGAAGGGCGTGGGGGCAGCCGCAGTCGTGGCTCGTCGCCTAAGCCCCCATGGGTTGTTCCTGACGGGGTCGTCGATCACTTGATGGAGGCCATGAAGAACACCGATGATCCCGAGCTGCGGGCGTTGCTGAAGGTGCGCGTGGAGAAGTTTGCCAACGCCAAGCCCCCGCCGAAGCAGCAGACGGCGGCGGCGGCCTTACAGCAGGCTGACGCAGCGCATCGGGACGCCAATCACAAGCATGACCAGACCGTAAGCAATGTGAGGAGGCTGAGGGATGCCCTCTCAGTCGCTGTGGAGAAGGAGCGAGCTGCTGCCGTCGTCCTCGCGTCCGCGGAGCTGGCCAGGCGCAAGGCTGTCGAGAGCCTGGCGCGGGCTGAGGGCGTCGCTGCCCCGGCCGCGGACAAGAAGGACGCAGCCCAGGAGGATCTCCCCTTCGAGGTGCGCTGGGACGAGAAGTTGTTCGAGGACATGGACAGCCTCGAGTTCGAAGCCAACGAAAAAGAGGAGTTGAAGCGCATTCATGAGCAGCTGCAGGGCCTCAAGATGACGTTCACGTCGAAGTCGGAGGAGGTCAAGGAGTGGCTGACGAAGGCGAGCAAGGTGCGCGCCGACGTCGACAAGAGGATGGCGATGAAGAGGCGCAGGACCGAGACAGGAGAGGTCGCCTCGCCCGATGCTGCAGTCCCTGCGAGTAACGCGGGAGGCGGCGGGCAGGGCTCTGGGACAGCCGAGGTCGATGCTGACGCGGCGGCTGCTGCAGCCAAGGAGGAGCACGACAGGAAGGTCCAGGAGGAGGCGACGAAGATCTCGGCGGCCAAGTTCGAGGCGGCCATGGGCGCGTCCAAGCCCAAGGGCGCCTGTGGCAAGGGCAACGGAGGGGCCGCTGCCTGACGGTCACCGCCTGGCGCTGAGCCCGTGGCGCTAGCTACTCAGCGCCAGGCGTCGCACGGGAACGGGGACGAGGTGCACGATATCGACGACATCAAGAACACCTCCATTTTCTTCAGCAACGTCACCGCCCTGGGGGAGCAGGCGTGGACGTACCTTATGACGCAGTGTTCGAGCTGCGAGTACTTGGGTTGCGTGGAGACTCATCAGCCAGAGTCCAAGTTGCGCAAGCTCGATCGTGATGCTCGCGGCAAGGGCTATAGAATGATTGCTAATCCTGCCAGACCCTCTGGCAATCACCGCACTTCGGCTTCTGAGGAGAAGGCCAACGAGGGCGGCGAGATCATCTTCGCGAAGAAGCATCTGCAGGTGGAGAGCTTGGCGGAGGCGAGGCTCAACGCGTTTCGGGCTCCAGGCAGCTCAGCGCTGGACGACTTCGCGGCGGCCACCATCCATCTGGCTGGCGTCTCCATTGTTTTCATTATCTTCTACGGGGTGACGTCCATCGGCACGCATGGCCGCAACCTGAGCCGCTTCCAGCGCCTGGGGGGCCCTGCTGGCGGCGCTGCAGCTCCCATGGCTCGTGGTCGGGGATTGGAATGTCACCCCGCAGGTGCTCAGCGAGACGGGCTTTCTGGATCGAGTGCATGGGCGGGTGCTACAGGCTCCTGTGGACTATACATGTGGCGTGGGCGCGGGCACGCTGATCGATTTCACGGTCATGAGCGAGTCTGCCATCCCCTTCGTCGTCGGCTGTCAGGCGGTGCTGGACGTGCCGTGGCGGCCTCATCTGGGTTTGATTATCACGCTCAAAAGCAGTGGCAAGCAGTTGATTACACGCAGATTGGACGCTCCTGGTCGTCTTCCTCAGCTTCGACGTCCGCGGGCTCTACCTCAGGAGGGATCCAAGACCTCCAAGGCTAAGAAGGTCAAGGCCGTGCGGGCTGCCTTGGCGCAGGAGCGTAGGTCTGATTTCTTCCATACGTTGTTCTCTGAATATATTTCACAGCCTGGCGATGAGATCAGCACAGCAGTCCCATCAGACGATGAGGATGAAATCGATTGCCGATTAGATGACGGATGGCCTGAGGAGGAAAGATCCTTGGGGTCACGAGTCGTGTTTCAGTGTTCACCCGAACGCATTTCGGAGCCCTGCGGGTGAGCACACTCCTCAGAGCCGCAAGAGTGAGTCGGAAAATGGAGCCTCTGTCACATCGTCGGCGTTGCACGGTGCTGATCCCGCCCGTCTCTCTGATCCTGTGAGCAAGCCCTCTTATGTCCAGGCCAATTCGGGACCTCCCCCCCTTCTTCCAGCGATGGTGCGCCGCCCCTGGTCACGGAAGCCGCCTTGGAAGACCCGTCCCTTCAGGGTGAACCCGAGTTCTATATTTCGGAAGACTGTTGGAGACAGCATCGTAATAGTGTTTGCACTCTGGAGGTGTCTGAGGATGCCATGCCTCCCTCCTACCTCGCCTCCGTTGCTTTTAGGCTCAATCCCAAGCCTGTTTCCACAGTCAGTTCATGGTACTCTGCTTGGGCTCGCGGAGTTGAGCGCACGATCTGCGCTCACCACTGCGTGCCGCTGCCAGCTGGGCCCAGCAGGGGCGACGGCTGCAAGTTCGTGGTTGAGGAGGTGCATCAGTCAGCGCGAGGGCGCACGGCGCCGCTGCGGGACCAGGTGGCCTGCTGGTGGAAGCGAGTTGCCACGCTGCTAGCGCAGGCGGGGAGGCACCTCGCTCGCGGCAACTGTGAACGGGAGCTTGAGGCCATCCAGAAGGCCTGCAGGCATCTGGTATACGAGCGGCCTGCAGGGGTACATCTGCTGCTGCGCCCTGGTAGGGACGCGAGCGACCGCAAGTGGGCGACGGTGCTGCTTAATGTGAAGGATGTGGTCGCGCCAGTGCTGCAGTCCTTCCAGGAGCAGGCGGCTCGACTGGCTCGACGAGGGCAGCGGAGGGCCGTCCACGAGTCGCTGTCGGATTTCCAGCAGTGGGTCACTCAGCAGTCTGCTGCGGGGGCCCTGCACCGCAGCATGCGGGAGGAGCCGCTTCCGCCGCTCGAAGTCCTGGAAGGGGACATTGCCGTCGTCCACCCGCGGGACATCATCGACGGCAAGTGCAAGCATTGGCAGAAGAAGTGGGCGCCCCACGTCGTCGACGAGACCAAGTTGGCACGTGCATATGATGATGCCCGCGAGGCTGCCCGCGCGGAGCCGCTGGATCCGATCACAGCTGCTGATGTGTGCGCAGCAGCACGCAAGATGAAGGCCACTACTGGTCTAGGCGCCGATCGGATGACGCCGATCGACGTGGAGCGGCTCCCTGATAGTGCAGCATTGGAGCTAGCAGAGTTGCTCAACCTGATCGAGTGCTCGTTGGCGTGGCCTTTCCAGACCCAGCTGATCATCGGCAAGCTCCTGCCGAAGAAGCTGGGCGGCGATCGCGCGATCGGGCTGGCGTCGTTACTTGGGAGGTTGCGGTCTCTCATTCGGGAGGGACACGTTCGGGATTGGTGCTCACTTGTTGGGGACGAGTGGGATGCAGCGATTTGTGGGAATGCCTCCCTCAGGGAGGCGTTCCATCGTACGCTCCAG